TCGGGTGGGGTTTGCGCTGCCCGAGTCGAGAGGTGAAACGGGGTCTGCCCGGAGCTGTAGCGCCGAATAATTTTTTGTCGTCTCCGTGATGGTTCTGCTCTTGGTTTTCCTCTTCCTGAAGTCAGTTGAAGTGAATGCCTGCCGCGCTGTAATGGCTGATGCTGTCTGCGTTCGCATGCTCCAGCCTGTCCACGTTAAACAAAATCTTGACGTTTGCACATCTGTGTCACAAAGCATGTTGGGGAGAGGTTCTTACTTCAGCCCAGTTTAATCTGAGAAAAGTAGTGAAAAATCTTTTTTGCTTTATTTAAATTAAGGGTTGATCCTTTCTCCAAAAAGGACTGGTACGATGTCAAAGCACCAGCGATGTTTAATATCCGAAACATCGGGAAGACGCTTGTCACCAGGACTCAAGGAACTAGTGAGTATGGGCTTTCGTGCAGTAGAGGGAGATGTATTTGTTCCATGTGCTAGCGCCAAATGAGACTCAATTAAAGAACTGCTGACAAATAGTTTTTGCTCATAATACTATGAACCTGCAAATGTTAAAAAAAAAAAAAAAGGCACCTCTAACTTAATTACTTGATTTCAGTGAGTTTTCTTAAGTCGACCGAGTTGTTTAAACAAATGAGCCTTGTTGCAGGGAAGTTCATGCAGTGTGGTCCTTGTCTGTACGAGAGCACCGAACCGTGTTATATGGCACGGGAGGACGTGCCTGAAGTTTCTAGTGAACTGCTGCTGTGGTGACCTGGGAAGTTTGAGGAAAGCTAAGAATTAAGGAGTCATTCTCATCATCAGAGAGGGAGATGAGGGGGCTGTGGTCATAATAGGATCATAAAGACCATCGCCTTAGGATGGACTGTAATTTAAAACGTTCAGGTAGATATTTCAGAGCTAGAATTGATAACTTAATTGAGAGCATATGTAGAGGTGACTGGATGGTAAAGGTTTTTTGCTGCTGAATGGTAAAAAGGTTTTTTATATAAAAGTTTTTTCTATATATATAGGAACAGGAAGCCTCTTAGGAATGCAGTGTGATCCTGCTAGAGCTAACAGTATTTTTGGAAGGTTAGCTGTGTAGAATGGCTAAAAGATTGCATTATACTGTTGTGGTTGCACTTACAGTTATGGTGATGATCATTATTTTGAACTCTCTGTGTGTGAAACAAGTAAAATGTGGGTCAGTGTAAACCAGGTATGAGTTGGCCAGTGTTAAAATGGTTCGTTGTTAGAGGCAGAGCTGTGAAATGACTGCACTTAGGTGTTTGTTACTGCTTTATCTCGGATGAGCACGTGGCTTTTTATTTTTTCATTATTGTTCTTAATTTCTGAATACTTTGTAACCCCTTCCACTTCAAAAAAAAAACCAAACAACAAACCTATTATATATGCTGGAATCTGCAGTACACTGGTGTTTGTGTTCAGCATCTGATACAGTTCTCTTAAAATACAGTGGTTCTATGAGTTGATTTGTTCTTGTTGAAGATACTTAGAAACATCAGAGCTGTGAAGCTAGTGGCATCACCTGCTGTAAGAAAACATCAAATGGAAGTTCAGTATCTGACTGGAGTAATACTTTTCTAATGTTAAGAAAAGGTGGTTTATTTTGTTTTGTAATACAGAAATTGCCTCTGATGGACTGAAGGGTCGTGTGTTTGAAGTGAGCCTGGCTGATCTGCAGAACGATGAGGTTGCCTTCCGTAAATTTAAACTGATAACTGAGGACGTTCAGGGCAAAAATTGTCTGACCAACTTCCATGGGATGGACCTCACCCGGGATAAAATGTGCTCCATGGTCAAAAAATGGCAGGTGTGTAAAGAGCAAGGTCTGCATTGTTGCCGGTGGCTTTAGGACAGGAGGTCACCGCTGATGCATTGCAGAGTGATGTTTGAAGTCGCATCAGCAGATGAAAGACAGATGCATGGCTTTGAGAAACCCATCTTGTCACATTGTTGATAAATGACCGTTTCTCTTTCAGACAATGATCGAAGCCCATGTAGATGTCAAAACTACCGATGGTTACCTACTGCGCCTCTTCTGTGTGGGTTTTACGAAGAAGCGCAATAACCAAATCCGCAAGACCTCGTATGCCCAGCATCAGCAGGTTCGACAGATTCGCAAGAAGATGATGGAAATCATGACCCGAGAGGTCCAAACCAATGACCTGAAAGAAGTTGTCAATAAGCTGTAAGCTTGGGCCGTGTTTTCTTTTTCCTCCCTTACAGTTTAAATAGTTGTTTGGTCCATTGTTACTGAGAACTTGGGGAATGCTGGTGCTTCGCGTACTGTTTGGGGGAGACCAAGCGGGTGCCTCTTGTGTTGAAAAGCTAGTGTGCCATTTTCTGTGAATACTCGCATAGCCTCTGCATCACATCTGACTTCCACCAGCCATCATCTTTGCATAAATGTAAATCAGGCTCTCCAGAGATTTTTTTGATTCATGTTTCTACAGACTAAAACAGTAATTCTGATCCACTGGGACTGTGACTGTTCTGTGTTCTTCTGATAGAAGGAATTTTTTCAAAGCATGGTGTTTGCTTCCAAAAGTTTGATTGCAAATTCGCTCTCAAAATGAACACACATGCACTTACCACTTGTAACATTGCAGGGAAAATATGTCTTACAATCTAAACATCCTTGAAAACTGTCAAAGTGGGAAGGTAGTACTGAGGATGCAAACTTCTGTAGAAATTTATGTATTTGTAAGAATTCTTACAAGCCTGTGTTGCTGATGAAGAAGCAGGCACAATTTTGGACGTTCTGGTACTGATGTGCTCTCTGATTTCTCAGGATCCCAGACAGCATTGGCAAAGACATAGAGAAGGCGTGTCAGTCCATTTACCCTCTTCACGATGTCTATGTCCGTAAGGTTAAGATGCTGAAGAAGCCCAAGTTTGAGTGTAAGTCAATTACTGCAAACATTTAGTGTTCTTAGAGGAGGATGTGGGAAGCATGCATTTGCTTTTGGATAAAGATGTTGCAACAGCATCATAAGCTTAATTAGTTGTAATAGTAAAAGGCTTTGTCAGTCTAGTCTGACATTTGGCTTTTAGGCTTGAAAGCCAAGCAGCGGTTGTTTGGTTTGGAGCTTTTTGAATTCTTGCCTGAAACTGCTGCTGAATGTTTAAAGGCTTTGGCTTGGGAATGAATGATGACAAAATGTTTCGGTCCCAGATGACATGGAATGATTCTATTTTTCCATTTTCTGACATTCCCATATAATGCCATAGTAGGTTCTTGACTTTATCTCTTTAAAAAAAAAATTTGCAATTTCATTATGTAGCACTTGTATCACTGCTTGTTTTTTGTCTGGCTGTCAGTTACTGCAGCAGCATCTCCTTGCCTGATCTTTCTGGAACGGACTTGCTCATACCTACATTGAATGTTCTGGTGGTTTAATTTGTATATTCTGAGCAATTCAGTAATTTTAAACTGTTTAAACAGGTGCATCTCTCACTATTTATACTATATCTTCTTTTTAGTGGGCAAGCTGATGGAGCTGCATGGTGAAGGTGGTGGTTCTGGAAAACCTTCCGGGGATGAGGCAGGCACTAAAGTAGAGCGAGCTGATGGATATGAGCCGCCTGTGCAAGAGTCTGTCTGAAACTAGAAATTGATCAAAAAGAAATAAAAGTTTTAATATACGGAACTAATGTTTGGTTGCCTGTGTTGCTACTGGACAGCATTGGTACTGGATATGTGGATGGGTTTTTAATAAGGTAAACCTATTTCCTTTGTTTAAAAAAAAGAAAAAAAAGAAAAAACCCCTTGTTCTGGAGATCTGTTTTTCATCTGGTATTGCGAGATCGGTGGAAGAAGGTGGGTTCACAGAATCACAGAATCACAGAATAGTAGGGGTTGGAAGGGACCTCTGTGGGTCATCTAGTCCAACCCCCCTGCCGAAGCAGGGTCACCTACAGTAGGCTGCACAGGATCTTGTCCAGGCGGGTCTCCAGGGTTGTCCTTTTTGAAATCTGAAAGTACAGTACCAAGGATTCTATACGTTGGTTTTTCCCAGTAACTTTGGTCCTCACACAAGGAATCTCGTAGATGAGTACAGAGGTTGTATTTGTGCAAGGTGCTTCAAGGAGGAGCACTGTACCGGGCAAATGGGGTGCTACGCAGGGACACTTGCTGTTTCAGAATTTTTTTATTACAGGGAAGTCTTAGGGATTTGTCCAGACTACTTCAGTGTTACGTGTGGGTATGTTTAAGCTTCTTGGTAGCAATTTGATAGGACCTCTCATGGGATAATTTGGTCTCCGATAGTCAAAAGGTATTAGAAGATCTTCAAGTTGTAATTTGGATCGTGGAAGCAGTGTTAGTTTTGAGCAGTGCAGAATATGCTGAAGAATAGGGCTGTACATAGGTTTTAAACCTGTATCAGAACTGACGGGTAACCATAATCACAGTTGAAAAACCTGTGGAACTTCAGGGGAAAAAATTCTACAGTGAAAAGGCAATGGTTTATGTTCTGAAAATAAAGCAGGCTTAAGCGATGTGCTGAGTATTTTTAAGAGTGCTTTTTCCATTATCTGTTAGCATTTTTTTTTGTTGTTCAGCTTATGCCGGCTTAAAAATAAAAGACGGTGTTTTTCTGGGTAAAACAAGTAGTATTTTGCACTGTCAGCATGTTTTGTTCAGAGCTGGGCAACAAACCTAAACTTTGTGCTGTTGAGTTGTTGGTAAGTTTGTGATTTAAAACCTCAGAACAAAGTGGTACCAACCCACTCAGGGAGGTCACCGAGACAGGGGTGGTGGTGGCGGCTCTTGGAGTCAGCAGTGAAACAGCGTAGGCTAAGAAATGGAGAAAAGTAATGAAATGTTACTGTTGCACCAAAGATGCCAGGGGAAAGGTAGAGGGGCGCTGCCTGTGAGGGCTGTGCTCTTCAGTGTCAGGGATTTTCACCCTCTAGTTGATAATTCTGGTTGCCCAGAGAGGTAGTGGAGGCCCCATCCCTGGAAACATTCAAGACCAGGTTGGACAGGGCTCTAAGCAACCTGATCTAGTTAGCGGTGTCCCTGCTCGCTGCGGGGGGGTTGGACTAGATGACCTCTAGGGGTCCCTTCCGACCCAAAACTATGATTCTATGACCAAATAATATGCAAAATGAAAAGGATGTTTTCTAATCAATTACTCAGAAGAGTGCAGGTGATATGATTCCAAGTGATTATTTTAGTGTGGGGGATTGATGTTTAGAACAGCCCATGACTTAGTATTCAGGTAACTGTTGGATGGTGAATACAGGCCTACTTGTTCTGCTTTTTCCAGTTTGCTTAGTGGAAGGGGAGTGAGCGTTCAGAACTTTCACGATGCTGAAACGGGAGAGGGGAATAGTGCTGCTCTTCTGCTTTGCTCTTTTCATCTGTACGGTTGAGGTGGGTGGTGTTCTCCAGGAGTCCCAGTCACATTTTTGAAGCCATAACTTCTCTAACAAGGTGAGAACTTCACTGGAGGTAGAAAACACACCGTAATTTAAGGTAAGGGCAGTGAGGCTGAAAATCCTAGAACAGTTAAGTTTTAATGCAGGTGTGTACATATATATATGCGCATATATTCAAGCCTTGCATCAGAGTAACATTTGTCAGAGCTTTCTAGTCACGGCCGTGTGTCGGCTGTATTATTTTCTCTGCTTAGCAGTGGTTCCATCCAACAGATCCTGAGGGACTGCCACTGGCCTGTACTCGCTGTGGACCAGGGGAGTTAGAAATCCTAAGGTATCATTTCTGAGCTCGTTTCTGAAACCTTGTGTGTCTTTCATCCTGTTACTTTTTCCTTCAGCTGTACGTCTGAGGAGTAGATGTTGCAAAAAGGCTAGTCCAAGAGGATTTGGGGAAAGAACGATAACTTTTTAAAAATTTTTTTTAATTTATTTTTTGGAACAGTAGATGGCTGGCATTACCACATAGGGGCTCTGGGTAAATGTATGCTTTATAAAATTATTTCAGTTGGGTGGGAGAAGTAAGTGGGAAGGAAAACTGTGCATCCTCTATTCTCTGTGCAAATACCAGCTGAAAAACCATGGTGTATGAATAGCAGCAGTCAGCAGAGCACTCTTTACGTGTAGAACCGCTCATCAGCGGAGGCTCAGCCCATGTCTCCATCACAAGTAACCTTGGCCCAGGAAGAGCAGAGGATCACCATTGTGTGCGATGATGCCCTGCGATGACGGCTGGTTGCTGCAGGTGGCAGGTGTGAAACATACCCGAGCACGAAGGCTTCTGTAAACTGTGCTAAAGCCATTGGGATCCTGTGAGGGGTTTGGACTAGTTGTAAAGGGATGCAGTATTACTGTATGATGGGGTTTTTTTGCTGTTGGGTCGAATATTTAAGTACAGTGGGATCCACAGAATTGTCATGTCAAGTGGAAAGCTCAGCTCTCCACAGCCTAAGGCAATAAAAATGCCATCATGACATAATTATAAAAATTTTTATTGGTTAAATACATTCTTAATTTACAGAGGTACCATAACAAACTTACTGGACTTAACAAAGATTTATTTAGGACACTGTTAATTGTACACAGAACAAAGATGTCTTCCTGAAGATATTTCCAGAAGGTGGGTCAAACGGAGTATTTTGATAAATGAGGCTCTTACTAGCATAGTAATGTATAGGAGTCTAGCTGAATTTCAAGGTTACAGCCGAAATTTGCTACTGTATTGCAGTTAGGAATTGTGCTCCACCTCATTCTCAGTTTTTTTTGCAGATTATGTACTGTACACCTTAGGAATTTTATGTTATGATCCATATGCAGTTTCATGGTGATACTAGGCATCAAGTCTTAAGAAAAACCCTTCCTGTGAAAGCCAAGCATCTAACTTGTTTCCCTTTTCATGAGCAGGCTGTTTCAGGTGCCTGCAGTAATGCAAGCAGCCTTTAGGTGGCACTCCTTGCTCTGAATATAAGGCTTTGCTGCTCTCCCTGCCCTGGGTAATTGGGAGGAGATGATTAAAACAAAGCAGAGTGATCTTAGCTACTGACAGGCACTGACTTTAAACATTCAGTGGGAGTTACAAAAACAACTGGTCAATACACAGTTATAAAAATGGGGAAGAAGAAATTGAAAAAAATACAAAAATTCATTTCTACTTTTGAGACTCGTATCAAAACCTTAGAAAACTGCCAGACAAACAGTAAGTAAACATCATACACTTTAGCCTCGTCCACCACCACAATGATGCAGTATGTCTCTGGTGGACCTGGGAGCTCGCTCTGTTGGTGTGGGCTCTGCTTGGTTCTGCTGTTCTCCCCCTGCTGTGCCCATGGGAGGTTCAGGAATTGGGTTGCCACAGGTCATGGTGGAAGAAGCCTGCTTCAGCAGGGTGATCCACGACAAGTTTATGGTTGAAAAGTCTTGAGTGGGCTTGCAGGAGTCAGGAAAGCTATCTGTCTACAGATTTGATTCCTTGGATTTCTCTAGGAGGAGATGGCTGTTTTATTGGAATAAACAAAAAGAAACTTTGCCATCTCCTGCCAGGAGAGTTTGGGGAGTGGGAAGGGTCGTCCTTGGAGGTGGACTTATGTTAAAAGTTTGATTCCACAGGAGTTCTGGGTAGGCTTGTTGGGGATGGTAAAACTGAACAGCAGCTATATAAATTGTTTCCATCTTTCTAGAATAGCACATAATTTATAATTGTTTTTATAATGTTAAGCCCCTTAATGAAAGTAGAAATCCAGTTCTCGGCTCACTAGAACTGTGTGATCTTCATCCCCCAGTTGTGTGAATGGTAGAGGTGCAGTTTAAATAGACAACACCATCTGTGTCTATGCTTGAAAGAACGGCGTCAAGGACCTTGTGTCCGTGCTGCATGTTCCTTGAGCTTGCTTCAGGCAAGCTCCAGTCTGCTACCGAGACTGGGTGCCTATTCCCTGCTGCAGGGGAGGCCTTCACTTCAGTTTTGGCTGTGAGCTTGTTTCTGCCTGCTCTGATGGTAACGGGAGGGGAGCGCTACCCTCACCAGCTGGCTTAGACACCAATTTAGACGCGCCCCGATCTTTTGTAGCAGTAGGTATTTGTTGCTGTACTACCTGGACCTCACATTGATAAAGTTGTAGGCAGGCACATGACTAAGTCAAAACTATCTCACAGTCAGTCACGGTGCTTCTAGTTCCCAGTCTCCATCTGCCACTCAACTGTTGGCCCTTCTGCGGCCCGAACTTCTAGACCCACAGAGAAAAATCTTGTAAGTGTATCTTGGTATCTGCTGATCTGCGTCCCTCTGAAGTCATGCTAACAGTTTACTGGTTCCTTTTTGTGAAATTGTACAAGAGTGACTGAATACTGTCAGCAATGAAAAAGCCAACTGCAACATAATTTTTTTTCTATTCCAGGCTGATGAAGTTAGCAGTTAATCAAGATGCATTTACCTATTTTGTCAGAAGCCAAGTGTTGCAAAAAGGAATTTACTACCAGAAGTTCCTATAATGTGAAGCTACCTCAATCATGTCTGTCTTGGTCATTCAAGTCACACTGCTGCTTTTCACCAAATGCTTTTGTTAGAGCTTCTTGCAGTAACCTCCTGCCAGGCGTGTTTTCCTTAGGGCCCCAGCAGACCATTTATAATGATGCTCAGTATAGTTGGTATGTGGTAATAAACTGAAAACTAATCCCATGTCTGCTGAAAGCTAAAACCAAGGCTGTATAATATCCTTCATGTTAAGGATAGGAATAGTGTTACTGAAGTATGTTCCAGTGCTTGAGTGCTTGGCAAATGAAATACAGACTGAGTGAAGACTGGCTTGCCACTTACATGAAGGGGGTGGAGGGGCAAATAGTTGGAATAGCGCAGCTACTACATGGAGGGGATCCGAGAAAGCTCAGTAAACGCTGTCCGTCACAACTAAGTTCAGCTGGGAAAGAAGGGTACGGCGGCGCTCGAAGAACAGCAGACAGTAGAAAAATCTAAACCTGTATCTGGAAGGGATTTTGGGGGAAGGGAGGAAGGTCTAAAATGATTCATACCAATTTGAACATTATTTGTTAAGAGGCAAAATATTTAGTTTGACTTCTACAAATCTTCCTGTATGAGCAGCTTGGACTAAGACTAGAAAAATACTACACAAGGATTTGCTTCTGAGTTTTCCCTCTTACCAGTATTACATTTGATATTTTTCTACTATGAAATATCAGTTATCTTCCTTACCCTCTAAGTCATGAAACAAGTGGATTCTGCTGCTAATGTTGAAGTCAAGCAGTAATGAAACCTGAATATCAAACTTGATCTACATACCGAGTGCTGTAATTACATATTAAAAATAGTTTTTTTGAATTTGGGTTTTAAGAAGTGTTTAAAGAAGCTTACTTTATGCAGACTTTGTGCATGATAAATATAATACCAGACAGTAAACATAGTAGAATGCTATTTAAGTTAAAATGGTGTTGCACCACAGTATTTCCCTAGTTGGAAACAGCTAAAAATCCTGCTTGTATTTGCTCTCAGAGCATTCATGAAGCATGACTACATACACTGTCACAAAAGACTAAAATTTTCTTATTTGACTTCGAGATACTAGTATGACTGTCTAGAAAAAGTAGTGCAAAACATTGATAGTCAAAACACATTGATGTCTTTGTTGTGCCTTTAGGATAGAAAACATTCTCTCCCACATGCAGGGAGCACAAAGAGAGGCAACACTTCATGGCGTTCTTAAAATCTGAACAAAGTTCTTGGGGAATATCCCAGACTTTCCTTGTATCTCTCCACTCATCCAGTCCTCATCTACAGATTCCAGGTCTGTTATTGTATCACCTGCCTGTAAGAGAAGGAGTAATGTGAGCCAGTACAGCTTACTGTGTTGTGCACGCGTAGCTGATGTTATTCGGGGGCAGCTAATATCAGGCAAACACAAGTAGGATGTGGCCAGTCTCCTCTGTTGGTTACATCTCTTCGAGATTGTTTGCCAAAATCAGCTGAAGCTTCTTTTAGGGTAAATACTCGTCTCTGCTGGAAAATCACCGCCTTCCGGAAGGGAAAAATAGCACTGCTGGGTAACTTCTTGTGTTGCTTCAGCTTTCAGGTAGGCAGGCATGTTACAGAGCTGGCTCACAGGCCCCTACCTTACTTGTTATTTGTGTGTTCTCTTGCTTTGTTATGAAGGTTTCTTCAAATGCTTCCAAGCTTTTTTTTTTTTTTCCCAATTTAGTCCAAATATTTTCCAGCACTTGGAAACCTTCCTCTTTCCTTTCCCAAAAAGGAAAGCAATCATCTAAGCAGCTCAGTGTGGCGTTTAAAATAAACTGCAGCTCCTGTATTCAATCCTTGTCCCTGTTTTCATCTTCCCATGTCACACCCTTCATTTGAAGTACTGTCATAGCCCTGCTCTTTCTTCCAGTACCTCCATTCCCCCTTTCTGCTTTAAGGAACCATCTATCCTTTCAGCACTGAAAGCTGCTAATGCTGAAACTAATTATTTTTCTAGCTTTAGAAAGAGAAAATAAGGTTTTCCAGCTGACAAACACAATTTTGGGCCTGCTGTGAAAGTCCGCTGTTGGTTGGAAACTTGCTTTTGAGGACACAGTTACCTAAATCATGACTTTGAATCTACAAGGGCACGCTGTTTCTTGTTCATGGTTCTTAATATTATCTGGACAGCCAGCAAGTATTTAATTCTTCCCCTTGCTCCAACAGCAAGTGTGTATTGGGCTGTCAAACTTTCAGATTTTGCTGTACTAGGTGTCCCTTAGAGGCACTGCTGCGGTAGCACTGGTGCTCTTACTATTATCCTCCTTCTCATTGCTGTTTTCTAAGTAAAACAAGAGGGTCCACTGACTGCGTCAACTGATGAAGAACTAAATGTACTGCAAAACAAAGTTTGTTTGTCTTGTGTTTACTGGATCGGAGAAGGCCAATGAATTCTGCAATTCCTGGCCTCGTTTCAGTATCTTCAGTGAAGATTTTGCCAATGTGAAACAAGTGGTAAGGGCAAATATTTTTTGAGAGAGGCCTTTATCAAATGTGTTAATAGCTGTGCCTGCTCTATGTGCTTTGTTCTTTCTTGTTCCAAGCCTATTTTCACAGTAGATAAATCCTATTTTTTTAGCATTCTGTAGGAGGATAACACCTTTTGGAAAATTGGGTTGAGAGGTACTTACTTTGAAGGAAAGCTCATCTTCATTTTCTCCATGAAAATCATAAAGAGCTTTGGCTTTTCCTTTCTTCCCTCCTACAGACTGTGACAGCTCTACCCTGGCTGCAGAATATGGAAGACAAGTTATTTGGATTGGAGTGAAACAAGGCTCTTTCTGGAGACGTTTCTTGTCGTTCTCATGTTTTCTACCCACTAGTGTGCTACAGGGTGTCCAGATGTTATTACACTGCTACTTGGCAAATTCACTGTCCTACTGGAATAAAAATCTCTACTGACACCAGATCATTTTATGGTACTAACACATTCTCACGGTTCTACTTCTCAGAGGACTAAATTTAAAGTTCACTTACTGGAACTTTCCAGTGGCAATATACGATAAAAGCTCTCTTTTCCTGTTTGTACTTGGAGATGAAGCGGCACTTGGTGTGTGCTATTTACCAGTTAGGTGGAATTTATTTTCTGTCAACTTTCACTTGTGGCTCTACTTGCAAAAACTACGGGGAAAAAATTGTGATTTTCTGTGTGCTCTGTGAAGGTTCTGACTGCATGGATTTGGGGACCAAATAAACAGATGCCTGAGGTGAGCAAGCAGCATTCATTCCTTGCTTCACCAAGGGGAGTACAAGAACTCTGTGCCAAGGCGCAGCAGTTGTAGTTTTACAGCTCTACCGGCTCTTTGGCTGTGCTGCAGTGTTTCTCTTCAGCTGAGGGAGAACCTGGCTCCCCCCCATCTTTTGTACCCCTGAATTCCTACTAAAGGCAGCTCAATGCTCCTGTTTTGCCTGTGCCCAAACCACACTTTAAACCAGCCCAGAATCTGTATCAGTCCCTAGATTACTTACTGAGTAGAGCATTATATTGCCATTATTAGAGAGGGTGGTTGAACGCTTAGTTTAGTTTTAGGGTCTTAAGGACTATGGTGTGTGGCTTTATTCTACTGCAGTAACAGCTGGGTCCTCCCAGAACTCTGTCCTGACTGTCACACCCCAAGGAATAATGAATTGCCATTGAGCAGGAGCACTGTACCTGAGCAGGTCTGAACAAAAACTGCTGGGAAAATCCCTTCCTTTTCATTCAGTCTTCCTCTGTACCACTCCGAATCTACTTGTTCCAGTATTTGGATGTAGTCTCCCTTTTTAAAGGATAAATCGTCTTTGGTTTCTGCTGTAAAATCATGAAGTGCTTCACACCACTCTGCTGAGCGACTGTTGTTCTATTCAAGTGAACAGAAGAAATGCATTAATTTTAGAAGCGTTAATGGAGCCCATAAACTGATGGATACCGGTGAAAGCAGCTGTACAGAACACGGGTGTCCTGACTTTCTCTCACACAATAGTGTCACTGCAGATGCAGACTAGAATGGCATTTCAGCAATTACCACACATTCCTTTTTACCATTGGTGGCAGGGGACAGGATTAATAAATTCAAAATTAGACCACTGAAACAATACTTAGAATAGAGCTAACAAGAATTTGCTTAAGCACAGAGGATAAAAATGTACATATATTAATTTGCCAGAAGTTATGAATTCAGTCAGTTTAGGCCAACTGTCAGAATTCAAGATATGACCATGAAGCATTGTGTACTGTGGGAGTTGTGTTACATTCAGGTTTAAAGTTGTGCAGCTAATCTGGCATTATAATAGAAAGTCTATGTAAATCTATGAAACTGCTAGCTATGTAAATTCTGGTCTTAACCTATAAAATTTTGTTACCTGAGGAAGGGAAGAAGTCGCCTCCACCCTGTTCTTCAGTGCTGCTCCTGAACCTACATAAGTAAAGGACAACTTAGAATAGCAGCAATGACTATTCAAAACATTACTAATGATAGAGATTTTAGATATTCAAAGTGATTATTAAGAATAACTTCTTAAGAAGTTCTACTATTCCTTTTGATTCTTCTGTCTGTCTTTTATCCCTTTCTACTCCTTTCCTGCATTCATTGTCCTTTTGGACTTTTCTCCTGTACGCTGCCTGTATGCATGCAACACAAAACCATGTTCTTGAACATTTTTGCAAACCTATTCATACCTGTTCCAGGCAGATCTTCAACTACTTCCACAAAGTTCAAGGGGAAAATTCCAGACGTGCCTCTGAGCTCTCCTTTGGCCCACTCTTCATTTACATATTCTTTAAGGATTATCGTTTCACCTTCTGAAAAACTGAGCTCATCTTTCTGATCTCCAATATATTCAAATCGTGCTACACATCTTGGGCCTCTGCACAAACAAAGAGAAACTTACTTTGCTTATTTATTATTATTATCCACTTAATAATAAGGCAGCATTGTGCAAAATATGGATTGATATCTTTAAAATGATGAAAGAATGCACTGAAGATAAAACAAAAGGAAATTCGGGGTCTACCCCTGGTCCTCATCTCTGCTTTCTGAGGAGAATGAGTAAGGAGTCTGGAGGAGCTGGATGCAACTTCTGCATCCCCTTTCCTGGCTGTTACAGTATTTTGCATAAGATCCTATTTCTCTTCCAAACAACAACAAAAATCACTTTGCTTCTGGGCTACCTGTCCCATTTTATATTTTTGCCCATATCCAAGTAACCGTCCTGATATGCTTTTGTTACGTGTTTGATGTTTTTTTGAGCTAGCATCCAATTTAGATGCAGTCAAACATGGGTGGGGTGGGGGTGTTGTGTATTTGTCCAAAATCCCAAAGACATGCAGGTTTCATAGGGGGAAAGCTAGTTTTTATCTACTTTGACAAACTTTATTCTGTAAAATCTATCCCAGGCATGGGGAAATAAATTATCTATTGAAGAAAGAAACATCAATGCATCTGATAAATTTTACAAAATTTGGTATAATACTGAAAAAAGAAATTATTTTTCTTTGCACTTAAATAGATTTAGTAATTTAATAAACTAATAAAATAAATTTAAGAAATTAAGAAAATTTGTGATTTATCAGAAATACCATGCTGGAAAACAGTGATAATAGGCTTTAATTCCTTCTGTAGCATCATAGCCTACAACCAACAGAATCACAGAATGTTCGGGGTTGGAAGGGACCTCTGTGGGTCATCTAGTCCAACC